TGATAACCAGAAAGGGATCTGGCTAATACCCAAGTCTGTAGCAGGAATAACAAGCACTGGCTTGTGCGCTTCAATGCAGCTTGTTTCCAAAAAACTCCGTAACCTCACAATCTGTAAAAACATGGCTATACTAAGGTTTGTACTGAGCTTTACTAAACGTGCAGCCAGCCTGTACCAAAGCTGTGGTTACCCAGCTTTTGGGCAGCCCTGTGCAGAAGTCTGTGCTGCTGTCTTCCCCGTGGTAAGGGCACGTGTACCTGTGACAGATGCTGCTGCGAGGTGCTAGGCAGGACCTTGTTGGAGAAATGGCACTCCAAAATACATCACAGATTTTAACGGAATCACAGTGGTTTCCCCTCATTCAGGAGAATTAAAGTTGTCCATGAAAGTATTGATGTAACAGGAACAATCTCTACAGGGAAAAAGAAGATTTCTCTTTTTTTACAAAGGTTATGGTTGATCTATTGAGTATTGGCATATTTTCAATAATTTTTCCCCTTTTCTCTTTTTTAAAAAAACAAAACATCTGGAAACTTTAAAGCATGTTTCAGTTATGTTTTCAAACTGAAAAAAAGCAGAGGCCGAGACAGCTAAAACATTGTTAAGATCACACTGCTAATTTCAAGTGCAAGTGAAACCCCAGCACCTTATGTGGGGCTATTCCCGTGCTTGGGCGAGCTCCAGTCCTGTCACTGGCGGCGTTTCGATGCTGTTAGGGATGTGAGTGTCGCTAACACTTGCCTGTAAACGTGTTCGTGGAGTTTCCGACAATTAATGCTGTTTGGGCTTTTTTATTTTTAACAAAAGGGTTAAAAAAAAAAAACCCACAAAAAAAAAACAAACCTGGAAACCAGAAGCAAAAGGAGCGTGGGAGCAGCGCTCTCTCCCGCGGAGGAATTTCTTGGAGGTCGGTTCAGGGAAAGCTCTGGAAGCGCTCGTCCTCCCCAGCCCCGTGCGTGCCGCTGCCCGGCCGTTCTGTGCCGCCGGGGGACGCCGGGGCTGGGGGCTCGGCCTGGCCCCTGCGGATGGAGCCGGGCTGCCGGGCGGCGCTCGGCGGGGCTGGCGGGGCCTGTGCAGCCTGGCAGCCCCGGCCCGAGCACAGCGGTGCAGCGTGTGGGCCGCGGCGGGGCCGGGCGGGTGCGGCCGACGGGCCGTGCCGGGGCCCCGCTGCCCTGCCCGGCATGGGGCGACCCCTGCCCGGCACGGGCCCGGGGGTGCTGCCCGCAGCCCCGCCCGGAGCCTCCCGAGGGAGCCGCAGGAGCCCGGCCAGGTAGGAGCCCCGCGGCCCTGGCCGGGCGAAGGGCAGAGGCGCTGCCCGCGGCCGCGCGGCTTTGGGGAGCTGGATGCGTTTCAGGGCCTTTCAGGGCAGTGTTTCAATGAACCAACACTTTGCCTGATTTTACAAAGAAATAGCTGCTTTTCCCCTCCTCCCCTTCTATATGCCTGTCCTGTAGGTCGAGTTCAGCTGTTTCTCACACATAAAGCGCAGCAGGGGAATGGTGTGGTGGCTGACCTGTTCTCCTGACTCTCGCTAGCCTTCCAGCTTGGCTGGAGCTGGGGACAGCGGAGGATTTGAAGCTCAGTGTCAGCCGCAGGGACGGTAAGAAGCAGATCCCGTCATGCGTCGCCACAGAGCTAGTGAGACCAAAATCAGGGTGTATCTACGGCTGTCAAGGATTTACTGTTTGTTGGTGTGTGAGCAGGCATGTCCATACTCACACAGCTGCTTCTCATGGGGTCCCTGTTAATGTGAATCGGAACTGGGTGGTCAGGCTCCCTGCTGTACCTGATACAGCACAAGTGCCGTGGGGCTGTTTTCTCTTCATCTCTTTTCCTTATTTGTAGGCTACTGAAAAAGGTCATAACTGAAGAAATGGAAAAACACACTTACTGGTGTATAAACAAAGGAATTAGTGATTTTTTATGGGGATGTCTTTGTGTGAATCACTTACTATGCTGTGCAATGAATAAACGTCATAATTCTGTCTGATTGAGTTTATTAAGTCAAAGCTGGAGATATCCTTCAAGCCATTCTGGTTTTGGAGAACTTGGGACCTTGAGTGGTTTTTTTTTCCCTGTCAACTGAGTAATCTGCTTGAGATCCACAAACAAAGGCAGGATCTTTTCTCCCTTGTCTGGGAAGCTCTTCTTCCCTGCTGAGCTTTGTATTAATCTGGCTTGGTGTCATCTGCTTGGCACAGCATTCAGTAAACCAGACTGTGATTTACAGTGTTGCAGTCATGCAGTTTGTTTGCACAGGGCAGAACACTGGCATCTCATCTTTATTAGGATGACACTTGTCTTTTGGGGGAGTATATTCATCAAGTCATCCTGATAGCAGTGTGTGTTGTGGCTCAGCAAAAATAGCTTTGGCAAAGAAGTCACAAAGAGTAATTGGGAACTCTACAAATCTTCAAAGACCTTACACCACAGGCATTGTTCACTTGCTGCATATTCTAAAATAGAATATTTGCATTCACTTGGAGAAGACATGAGTTTCAGGTCTCTGAGATGGTGCCCGTGTTTCTGTGAGATATATGTTTGCTGGTCAAAATAATGTAAAAGATCATAAAAGCATTTATGGTTTATTTCCCTTCTAAGCACAAGTGTTTCAGTTTGGTTTAGGTGATCTGGTGCTTCATTCTAGTGAAGAATAGGGCTTTCTTTTGATAGCACTGCTTGTTCTGTTTCAATATGGCTTCATAAAATAAATTTATGTTTGCTCCATGGATCGATCACTGCTTCGTCTAACGGGGATGTTGGAGCAAAACTCCTGCTAGAAGAAACTCTTTGTCTGAAGCCTGAGGCCTCTGTAAAGTAACAGTAAGGGTTGCTTCTGCAGGGTTAGCAGTTCTCAGTTTTCAAGAGCAAATGCTGGGGAAGAAGAATGAGATGTGGCCTCCTCCAGATGAGTTGCCAGAATTCAGGAAGCCACACTGTTCCATTGTGTGGAACATGCTGGGCTGCTCAGACACTGACTTGTGCTGGTCTTGGAGAGGGGAGAGATGGGCTGAGTGTCACCCGTGTTTGGGAAAGGGAGTTTGAATGGGGGAATGCTGGCTCAGCACGGAGCATTTCATGGCTGCCTGCTGGAGAAGCAACAGTTTGTGTCCCCCCCTTGCCCCTCCAACTCTGTGTGCTGCCACCCTCCATTGCCACTCTGGTTTTTTGTGATGGGGGAAGGAAAGGAGAGAGGAAGAAAGGGTGCTGAGCAAGTGTTTCTGAATTGGGAAGAAGAGGTATGTATCTTATCCTTAGTGATGCTGGGGAGCACAGGGAAAAAGCTTGAGAATTGTTGTAATGAACTAAATCTTGTAACAAAAGAAGACCCCTTCCATTTGATCAGAGTAACACCTTCTTTTCTTGATTTTTAATTTTTAAACTGGCATTACCCTCCCCCCCCCCCCCCAATTCTGCTATCTTGTGCTATTAATCCTAAAATAGTCAGAATTCTTTGATAGCAGTAGATCCATGCCTAGCTTTTTGTGCTATAGCTACTAAATTCATCATAGTTTTTTTGTATTATTCTTCCCTAGGCAGGAAGACTAGTTAGATTTTTAAAAATCTTTATTCTGTGTTTAAATTTATTTTGGCTTAACCCACTTCTGAACAGTTAATATGACTTCTGCATATCCAGGCATTATCATAAATGCATGTTGTAACAACCAGAGCAAGTAGGTATGTTTTATGTGGAACTTCAGAATATTTTTGCATTCAACTAACTCTGGGACTTTTTTATTTTCTTGAAGCCCTATTCCACCTCTGGGGAAGGTAATTTTTATATATGTTAATGTGAGATGTGTAGAAAATTTAAGAAATGCACATGAACTTAGAGAGAGTTGGATAATACCTCTAGAGGCTCTCAGAATGGGTTTAAAATTGTGCTTAGATAAAGCATTAAATACATTAACATTTAGGTGATCTCTGTTTTCCACTTTTAAGAACAGATATGCAGTTTAGTGGACAAACATTTGGAATTCACTGTAGCTGTTTTCAAGATGGCTCTTTGGAAGACATGATGTCTGCTTTGAAATTTTGGTGTCTTTTTTATTAAAGGAGAATTCCTAGTAGGAGATGCTATTCTGCCTGCAGTAATAATGCACAGATTCAGATCTGTGTGTATATTCCATAAAGGACCAAAGGGTGCTGAGCAAGTGTTTCTGAATTGGGAAGAAGAGGTATGTATCTTATCCTTAGTGATGCTGGGGAGCACAGGGAAAAAGCTTGAGAATTGTTGTAATGAACTAAATCTTGTAACAAAAGAAGACCCCTTCCATTTGATCAGAGTAACACCTTCTTTTCTTGATTTTTAATTTTTAAACTGGCATTACCCCCCCCCCCCCCCCATGTGAGATGTGTAGAAAATTTAAGAAATGCACATGAACTTAGAGAGAGTTGGATAATACCTCTAGAGGCTCTCAGAATGGGTTTAAAATTGTGCTTAGATAAAGCATTAAATACATTAACATTTAGGTGATCTCTGTTTTCCACTTTTAAGAACAGATATGCAGTTTAGTGGACAAACATTTGGAATTCACTGTAGCTGTTTTCAAGATGGCTCTTTGGAAGACATGATGTCTGCTTTGAAATTTTGGTGTCTTTTTTATTAAAGGAGAATTCCTAGTAGGAGATGCTATTCTGCCTGCAGTAATAATGCACAGATTCAGATCTGTGTGTATATTCCATAAAGGACCAGTGACTGTAATGCACTGGCCTTTTTGAAACAAGTAACCAATCTTGTATATGCATTGGTGAAAACAAATAGTGCAAGAAACCTCTTAGCAATACTTCTCTGTGATGTGTAAGATGATAGATGTATAGAAATATAGATGATACACATATATATGTATTTGCAAGATTAGAGCCTGAAAATTTAAAGCCCTAAAAGGAAGGGAAAAGTGTATTCTAGTGAAAGAAAATTTTATTATTCAATACAAACTTTGTGTTTTGCAGAGGCAGCAGGATTGTGACTTGCGCTTACACAGTCAGCAACTGGAAAAATGCCAGACTCTGAAAGTAATTTGGTGTCTTCACATGTGGATGTTATAAATCGTACTTCAGTCTTGAGTGAAATGAATATTTCAGATGAAAAGAGATCTGTTGAAAAAAGAGCAGTGACTCAGATTGGGAAGGATGGCTATCCTGACTCCATATACATAAATGCAGCTAAGATTTTTCAGGGCATTCGTATTGAAAAGAGTACGGGCAGAATCCTGGTGCAGTACGGCAATGCCTCCGAATCTCCCATGATGGCTTTTAAAGATGAGCATTCCAGGCGTGTGTCTTACGAACTGGCTTTCAGAGCTCTCAAATGTAAGTACCAAACTCACCCAGGAATTGCTAACAGAGATGATGCAGCGCAGAAAACATGGAAAAACAAATGTTCCTTGTCTGCCTGACAGCAGAGATCTAGGCAAATTTTTGTTAAGCTTCAGGCTATTACAGAGTCACAGATTCACAGAATATTCTGAATTGGAAGACACCTACAAGCATCATCAAGATCCCCATAACGGGAATGAACCCACAACCTTGGTGTTACTAGCACCCTGATCTGGCCAGCTGAGCTCATCTCTGTGGTTTTTTTCAGATCCTAATTATGGATGAATATACATATTTACCACACTACTCATATCCCTCAAATATTTAAATATAGCTAAATATTATTAGAATTTGTGAAATCAAACATTTAAAGCCTATTATTTTTCATGTAAATGAATTACATGGGGTTGCTACTGTTGGTGATTGAATTAGCCCTCAATTTACATGATGTTTAAAATTACAATTTAGTGACTTCCATAGGATATTGTAGAGAGTGACATAGCTTGTCAACATTTTCTTCTTTTTACAGATCAAGATCTTCTTGAAGAAATGTTGCTAGATAGTAAGGTTTACCCATGCTACTCAATAGTAAGTGAACATCTTTGTGAGGCATTTTTATTTTCTGTGTTGATGTAAGTAGTACCTTTTCTGAGGATTCTACAACATTCTTCAAAACAACCTTTGTTGTTTTGAACTACATGACAGCCTTAGACTGAAATATTGCTGACCTTTTTACATAGTTGTCTAAAGCATCCATCTCCAAAGCCTGTTGTGAGATTCTGTTGTAACTGGTTGCTGGAAGTCAAAGCCTTCAAAGAAAGAAGGTGGGAGAGCGAGCCATGAGCTTCACTGCAGCATAGTACTTGCTCAGTGATATTGTCCATGTCCATATGCTTTCCTTCCCAGCTGTGTCCCCTTCTGATAGCAAAGGAAAAAATGTTTCCTTCCTATTCTTGGGAGTTGGAAAACATGGAGTGAATCCCATCAGACAAAAAAATGCATTGACCCCATGGTTCATTTCCTGGGCAAACAGTACTGTATACAAATATTTTACTGGAAAAAACTGGTCCAGTTTACTCTCTCAACATCCTTTCCTTCTTTGACATGGAAAGAAATTGTAGAGCTGGCAGAATATTCTGCTGTTCTTTCCAGTTTTGTCTTTGATGCCTTTGAAAATTGCAAGATAAACTTGAGCTGATATGGTTTGTGGAGGTGGATGTGAGCAGGCAAATCATCTAACACATTATCTTTGCCTTGTTTTCATAAGGAAGTAAGACTTTCATACTAACATCTTGTGTTTGGTGGTATTTCCCTAATAACTTGAGTTTTCTAACTAATTTTGGTCATATTTGTGAGAAGGTGAGAATTTTAGAAGGCATAATAAGTGTAAGAATTTCATGTAAAGAGGCATCCAGTAGTAACTGAGGTGCAGAAATTATTGTCCTTAAGCAGGAGATGCTCCCTGGTTTAAACATTTAGACAGAGAAAGAAGGTTTTATATATATCCCACAAGGAAAAAGGGTTATTAAAACTGAGTGTATTGAATGCTACATATGGAAGAATCCCACAAGAGAGGAATTGATGGACAAGAAGTTTTTGTTAGCTTAGCTATTTAACAGATTAATTTATGAAGAGAAATAATTTCAAAGTTTCAATTCTGAAAACATTAGAAGTTAAGATACAGTATTTTATCTGTGTGCATGGAGAATGTTTTTAATTTTGATAATCTAAACAACTTGTAAGTTATGTATTTGAGTTTAAAAAAATATTTTTTAAAGAAGTGTTTTATTAACTCTGCACAAGTAATTACTTTCATGTTCTTGCAAGTAAGCATTTAAGGGTTTTTAATGCCTTTTGCATAGGAGACTGCTGTTTGATATGGATCTTTTTGCAGAAATAGGGCATGCTTTGGGTCACTTTCTCCATCCAGTTGCTTTTCTCTTGCAGCCAGATGAGCTAACCAGCTTGCTTGTTGTGATGCTTTGTGACCTACAAGACCGAAAGTTTCAAAAACGAAAGGTTTTTGCTGAAGAGGAGCTTGTAGCAGAAGTTCAGGAAATAGGGCATTATTTATACAGGTATATGTGCAGAGCTGTTTGTTGTTGATATAGATCAGCTGAAATTAAGATTTGTATAATCAGTGCCTTTTGAAGGTAATTATTAAGCATGTCTTTCACCTTAAAATTTTGGGAGCTTTTTTTTTTTTTAAATGAGAGACTAGTTTAGAGGCAAATGTTCATATTTATATAGTTATGCAAAATGCAGATAAGAAATGATCCTTATACTGTGGATTATTTTGCAGGCATCTTATTTTGGCATTATTGAAACTTTCATACAATTCTAGGAAGGAAATCAAATATTCAGTAAATATTCATAAATGCAAGTGTAATAGAATCAAGAGGTCATGGAATGGAATAACATTTATCTATTTAGCAGTACTTCTACTATGAAACTTTGTTAAATATTTATTATTTTAAAAAATTAGAACAAAACCCAGAATACATAAACATTTTAATATTTATTATCTCTTCCATCAAACTGCAAACAACATGTTGTTTAACTCAAAAGGCATTTATTAGACAAAATTATGTTGCTGCTGGATTTAGAATGGCCCAAAAAGTTAATTAATCTCTTAAGTGCAAGGTATTTCTGGAGGGCAGTAAGTAAGATATCTGAAGTAGTTCACCAGCAATTCTTATTTATTTTGAATTGTCATGTATCAGGAATATGCATGAAGCTTGTGGGAAGAAAAGACTGGAAATACTTTTCCAGACATTTTCATGTAATAATGATAATAATAAAATTGACTCCTGATTGCCATCATATTTGTATTGTTTTTGTACATGTTTAGGGGCCAGCTTTCATCAAATGCTCATTCTGCACATGCATGTATTTGTGTTTTCAAACACGCAAATGAATCTGATGGCTGTATTCTACACATTGCAGTTCCAAAACATACTGAGGGGTTTTTTTAGCTGTCTGAGAAAATGGATGTAATTCCAGTCCTGCCTGATTTAACTAAAATAATCTTAGCTATTGACTACCACCTTGCATGTGCTGTTGTCTGGGGTAGGGAATGTTCTGTAACTGTATTTTTTGTTGCAGCTTGCAGAAGAAGGTATCCCTTTTGGATTTGGTTTCTGAACAAGATGGTTTTGTAACAGAAATGTTGCATGCTAACAGCTGATAAAAACATTTATAAAACTTACTAAACTGACTGTTTTTATAGGTATAGGACCAAACTGGCAGCTGCACTGGCACGATGTCGCATTAAATATGATGCTCTTTCAATTGAATACTTTGTACCAGAAACTATATCAAAGCAGGAACAAAGGACTTCTGCTGTACCTCTCTGTTTTTGGATAAACACATTTAAAATCACGTAAGTATTTAAAGTATTATCTGATATTGATGTTTTTGCATATGAAGTGATATAGTTTGCTACATACTTGTTTTAGAATTTCTAGGTTATATTTTTACTAGTAATTAAAAATTCTTACAGGAAAATTCTGCTTAGTACAGTGCCATTGTGTTAGAATTTTTTGGTAATTTTTATATATTGAAGTAGTGGTATTTATACACTGTTTTGAAACAGTTCTTCTTACTATTCTGTTGCTTGTGTGGGTCTTTCGCCAAATAAGTGAAGAAATAAAGTTAGAAAAAAAATATGGGTGAGTTAACTTGGTGACAAAAAATAAGGGAAAATGTCTTTAAAAGCAGGTGTATTAGTGCAAACCATAATCTTGGAAAAGGATGTTAAAACCCAATACTTAAACCTGCTGTTTATTCTGTAAGGATAATGTAAACTTGAAATTAAAATACACATTTTAAAATCCTTGTATTCTGTAGGCTACTATATATGTAACACTCCTGTTCCCAGTTCTGTACTAACTGATACATGAACCATACCAGATTGTCCTGTTATCTGTTTTGTTAGACAGGTAATCCATTTTATAATGTCTTCAAGAATTTTATTTTATTACTCTTGTCTTGGATCAATGTTCAGTGCTTAGGTTATAGGCTCTTCAAGATAATGTACCTTACTTTGGGTGTGAGTTTAGAGCGCTTAAATAGGAAATAAATAAAAGCTGCTCCTTTCATCCCATGTTTAATGTAGTGTATAAACTTATGGCACTGTCTGAAATAGTGTTCCAACAAACGTCTCTTGCTATATATACCTTCAAATCTTTATGATATTTGAATTGCTAACCTCAGCAGTTATGCCTTCATTACATTTACACAAGGATTCTTTCAGTGTCAGCCATTAAATTTATTGGTGAGTTGGGCTAGATTGAAAGCAATTGAAAGAACTAAAGCATTCCAGCAGTTAATTTACTACAGCGTCTCCTGAGCACATGAACATTTCTGTTTTGATGCTTTGAATCATCCTCTGGAGACACATACCTCTTTTTTAATTAATTGTATCAGACTTATTAACTTAAGTGTTTCAAACCAGAGCTTGCATGCCTAAAGGAGGGTAAGTTTCCCTCCTGCATTAGACAGTATGCATTTTATACCTATATATGTATGCATATGTATACACACACACAATAACAGAAGTTAATTCTTACAACAGAAAAAAAATTATAATTATAATTCTTATAACAGAAAAAATTCTTATAAATTCTTATAAATTCAACGTAAGCTATGTTGCCTAAGTAACTCTTGTATATTTAATGGTCAGAGTTGTATGTTAACAGCCTTGAAGATGTTATCAGAGATTTGGAGATGAAGGGATTCACAAAGGTTGAATCTGTGTCAGACTTTGACCATTACACGTATGCTGTGGACCAACATTGCCATGATGTATTGGTTTTTCCTTCCTCTCTTAGAGAAGAACTGCTTAATTTAGATCTTTTTGCGGATTGCAAACTCTTACTGCAGGTGAGTTGATGTTCAGCCTTGAGTCAGGTGATCTGCAAATTGAAATAATTGCTTTGCTTTAGAAAGAGGTTGTGTATTGTGTGACTATTCTGTTAAATCATTCAGGCAGTGACAAACACTCATAAGGTTTTGGACATTTGTAATAATTAGGTTACAAACTGATCCACTTACTAAATTTAGCATAGAAATATCAATGCTTAATTGATAGCTGCAATTAAGTAGTAGAATGTTTTAATTCTAATTTTAGAGCTGTTGAACCAAATATAAAAAGTGGTCAAAAAGAGGCTTCTGAAAATGTTAGGAAAGTTTCAATATAACTCCATATGCTTTCCCCCAGTTAGTAGATAGTGGAATGCTATTGTAATATTTCTTCCTCTTCAAATGCATGTTTGTGATGGAATGATAACAGTTCTTTGTATTTTGTGCAGTGTGGTTCCTTGATCTCCATAACTCCCACTGGTCTTTTTCCTGACTTGCCATTGTTAGACTCCCCAGTGAAGTTTGGTGGGAGGTTTCTGTTCTAGAGTAGAGGTTTGCAGTAACCATGCAACAACACAACCATGAATTATCTGACATGCTAGCAGAAACATTTCAGCCAGCATTTTCACTAGATGTCTGAAAACTTTAGCCTCAAAATTTATTGCTCAACTTAAAAAGTGACTCAGTATTCAATATTCCATTTCAGTTTGTAGATTTTAAATACAATACTTACAGAAAAGAGCTATAGATGACAGCCCTGTAGGTAATGGGAACAAACTCTGAGTCTAACTACTTAAAAGTATTCAAAATGAGTAAATAAAACCATGAAAACTTCCATCTCTGTGGTGGGGTGGAGTGTTGCTTGAATGCTGTGTGTACATAGCCAATGATGTGAATTTAAAGGCTTAGCACTTTGTTTTTCCCTTTCCATTTACCACCAGTTTGTCAGATTTGGTGTAAGACCTGGTATCTGTGGTCAGTATCTTCACTCCTTGCCTTTTTAAGTAATTTGATAAAGTTTTCTCTTAATCACCAGTGGTACAAGAGCATTTACTCTTGTGGAGCTTTCTATTGTGTTTTCTGCGTTCCAATCTGCCACTCTGTTGTTCAAATTTCAGCAAAATATTGATCATTGATCTACAAGGGCAACATTTCTGCTGTAACTATCATCAAGAGCTATGTGAATGGTTTTGCATTTCTCTGTTAAGCTCCCTCAGAGGATGAATTCTGCCTGAATTGTGGCCAATGTTTGTCTATTCTGGAACAAGCTGTTGGTAGGACTTCCTCCTTACGAGGATGATATGTACTTTATTTTCACCTATAGATACTATGCTTTTTCATGCATTATTTACAATTAAGTTATTTAAATTTATTGAGTGACTGCTTGGTTTTGTAATTTATTTAATTCTGTATTAGCAGATATCCCTGATTAGTTTTTTTCCTCCCTTCTTTTACATTTCCTTTGAAAACAGTGGAAAACTTTCCTAATTTGGAAAAGAAGGTTGGCATTCATGGAAACCAAGGCAGTTGATCGTACTTAATTTTTGTGTCATTGTGTTGTAGGACAAGTCTCGCAGCCTTGCTGTGCACTCTGCACACGCGCTGCTGAGTGAAGGTGGTGACATTATAATGGCTCACACAGGTTCCCATCTGACCATTGCCCATATGTCAGTGCTGACAAATGACAGCAAGCCCAGCATTTTCGTTTGTGGTGTGAAATCTTTGGCAAAAGAAGAAGAACTGAGGAACAATTTCAGTCACATGGGATGTGAAAGTAGGTGCTAAAACAGTTGGTATTGAAGAAGTATTGTAATACGGTGATACAGTTTGTGATATTGTAAATATGGACTAGTTCTATCAGAACTCAGAGATCCCTTCTTTGGAGGCTTGGGGATGGCAGTAGCAACTTTTTTGTCACAAGCTGAGCTGATAGCTCTTCAGCTGCAGTCAAGTTAATTGCAGTCTAACCATATCATAGATGCAAGCTCCTGAAATATTGCTGATTTTTTCTGTAGAAGTAGCTACTACGTAGCAATTGGTGTAGCTGGTAGCGGGGAACTTCTGGTGTTCTGGCTGTTGCTTTCAGTATGATTTCCAGCTGTTTGAGAGTGTTAATCCAAAACACGTGCACCAGTTCAGTTTACCTGGAGGACACTATCAGGACAGAATGCAGCAAGACTGCAACCCCATTGTCTTTTCAGTGGAAGACGCACCTTTCAGTCTGTTTGAAATCCATAGGCCATACTGTGGAGAATCTGAATCTAGCAGGCTCTAGCTCTGTCAAATTCACTGTAACACCACAGTCTCTTCCCCTCTGTCACCTGTAGGCAGGCTTGCTTGCAGTCTGTAAGTGTTGAGTTTTTCCTGTTTTTCAGATATTTGGTTGTTACATGAAGACTTTACTGAGCTTCAACCAACAGATCCAAGACTTGAAAAGGCAAAAGTTATTTTGCTGCTACCACAATGCTCTGAACTGGGTGCTGGCAATCCAATGGAGCTTATTTTAAGTGAACACAGTGGTAAATTTTGATACAATATCTAGCTTATGCTTTCAGGTAGAAATAGATCCAGGTATTGTGGTCTAGACAGTGCAGGTGCTTCCGTAAATTGTATAATTTTATTAAAGAAATCTTCCTTATTTTAATTGCCATAAAATATATAAATTAACTTGCATAATTCTGTGACTGCTTCAGATTGACAGTATGAAAGTTTGAGGGTGACTCTGGGGAGCAGAGTGTGTATAGCTTCTTTTGAAGTAAAAATATATAGGCATAAAATTTATTTGAAGATACCAACATGTATATAATTTTCTATTTGATTACATTCCTTTATTGACTGTTTGTATAAATCCTTTCACTGTACAATTTTCGTTAACTAGAATCAAGTAAGAGACACCAGTAATTACAGGTAAAGAAGTAAAGCAAATAAATCAGACATTCCTTGGTATTCTAATTTGTAAAACCTACCTTCCCACTGCACCAGTAATAACCAGGTCTGCTTCTGCAAACGGATGAATTTTTAGACACTAATACAAATTGCAAGACTAAATTTACTACTTTCTGCTTTTAGATGCAGGATTGCTACGAGACCTTTTCCAGGGATTTGTGTCTGAGGATAAACTCAGGATTCTTGCTGAGAGGCAGCTTAATGAGTTGATTCATGCACTGAAATGTAAGTGTGCTAGTTTCCCAGTTTCTGGGAAGACTCTGTGCTATCAATTCCATTGTATTATCACCAGTTTTAATAAAGTTAAAATGCACTAATTACTCTATGAATTAAGAATAAGCAGGTAACCAAACCCCCTGAACAATTATTTCCTCCGGTCTGAAGGTGTTCCTGTGTCCTAGTGTCCCCCATACATTAATATAATACTCTTCAGTATTGTGTAGAGAACTGGCTTATGGCTTAGTTACACTCTGCTTTAGAAATTCTGCAAATGTAGTCTCCTTCCATCTGCATGCTGCCACTTTTTTCCTCTCTCCTTTGGTAGCTGTGTGAAAAGACTGGAGACAGCTTTGACTTTGTGCTGAAGTCTGCAAATATTTGAAAATATTTTAATTATTTAAAAACATTAGATATCAGGAGGTAAAAGTGACATAATTTTTATGATGCTTTTAATCCTTATCAAACTACTGTCAGTATGAAGAATCAGAAGAGTAAAAAAGTTGTGTTTTGTTTTGTAGTTAACAAAGTACAAGCTATTGTTTACTGCACTTGCTCAGTTTACCCAGAAGAAAATGAACTTGTAGTGAAAAAAGCACTGGAATCTGGAGTGGAGGGAGATAAACGACCATATAGGTACAGAATGAGTAGTTTTATCTGTGGAAAAATTAAAGTATGACTTGGAATTGTAGCATAATTCTTATTCTAGACGGATGCGTATCTTGCATGAAATTAAAATTGCCTTTGCTGCCTGTCATGACATTCTTTCTGTTTATGAGATTACTTAGCAGTATTCCATTGACTTTCTCATCTAATATTTTTGTTCATCTGAAATTAAGATGGGAGGAAAGCATCACTGGTTGGAAATAACATTCTTCAGATAGAGCTATTGCTATTACTGTATTAGTATTCAGAGAATGAAACTAACTTGCTAGCATGCTCTCTGCTGCTGATGTAGAATGATGAATTTCAAAGGAAAAAGAAATCTTAAATTGTAAGAATCATAGAGAAGAATAAGAACCCTTTGCTGTAGGATTGCTCATTGCTGTGTTCAGATGAATGACTTCTGGGAAGGACAGGTTACAGTAAGAGATCATCCTGTTGCAATCAAAATACATTTATATGAAAAAAGTATGTATGCTGTATACTTCACATGTAATTATAACCTGTTAGCTATCACCCCTGTCAGCCAGAGGAATTGTTAAAACACTGATGGGTATTTTCTGTATTTTCCTTTCAGTCACATAAATGCAAACAGTTGGCACTTCCTTGCACATAGATAAAATAGTGGATTACTGGATGCAGGTTTAAAAGAGTTTATGTTGTAAAAAGCACAGAAGAGTAACACTATATTTTTAGATTTTATATTACCTTAGTTAATAGTCTGGCTGTCAAAGGAAAAGGTACTGTGGCTCAAATATTCAGTGTAACTAAATTTTGCATTATTAAAATAGTAGATATTAACTGTGGCCTGTCCAAAGAAGGTTTAAAAGTTGCATATTATTCATAAGACACAGTGCAACAAAGTGCATATTTTTTTCAAATTCACTGATAGAAAATAGAAGTCTGCTTGATTTTTTTTTACAGTAAGTGGGATGAAATCAGGGTATTGCCAATGATGGTGTGCTGGACCAAAAGCATTTATGGCCTCTTGCTTGTGTTTTCCTTTGGAATTTGAAATTTTCTGGAGTCTGTCTTGACTTCTGTGCAGCTGTTACTCTATGGGGAGAACTTGGGGTACCTTGGAACATAATGGTCTCTAAATTATTGAATATAAATAATATGTAAATTCATAACATAGAAAAGAATTTTTATTTAAAAAAAAAAGTTCCTGGAGCTCTAATTATTTTTTTTTAATCCCTCTTGTGTAAAACACCTCCCTCCCAACAAAGCCAAGCCAAAACCTGTTCACTGTTGTGCAGAAGCATCATGAATGTTGTCAAACCACCAAATCATATTACACTTTCAAAAAGGCAGTCTTGGATGGTAAGAAAAGGACAATAAAATTACATTAGGATTTTTTTTCAGACCTGAGCAAATTTCTGACTGACAATTGATTGAGTTTCATAAATGACAATTTCAGGTTCAGTTCCTCCTTCACTGTCGTGCAGTATCTTGGATGTTTCATCATAGTCCTTGCTACAATAAAGCTGCTGGTAATCAGCACAAACACAGCAGTAATAGAATGCCATAAATAAAATATAGAGAGTGATTATGCTTAAGATGAAAGCTCATGCCACTTCAGATGCATGTACTACTTACAAAAGTTCCTTTTACACTTTTCTTAGAATTAGAGAATTTATTTGACTAAAACAGTGCAGAATAGAATGAAAGGCTGTTGTAGTTACTAGCCCCCACGTTCACAGTAGTACCTTTGAGAGACAAGTCATAATAAAACATGTTGTATGATCATCAAAGATCTACTGAATATTAATTCCCTTTTCCAAGAAAATGGAGGGCTTTCAGGAAGCTCTTACAACATTTTTGCTTATGTGCATTTTATCTTTTGGAATTATTCTGCAGTACTGAAGTGGTGCCAAACAAAATAAGGCTCTGTTGGAGTTTGGGGTCACACAGCTGGTTTTAGGGCTGTGCAGTTTTTAAGGGCGATTTCAAACATGTTCACACTGGTTCAGCTGAACTTACCTTCAGGCTATGACAGTGGACAGCAGCAGCTTTACCTAAAGTAAGGGCAGACATGGCAAACAGGTGTGTCTAGAGTAGTCTAAACTACTCGTGCATTTTGCTTTGGCCTACCAAATTTGAATTATTTTCTGCATCATTTTTCAGGATCATTGAAGAGATTCCTGGTGAACAGTAGCTTGTATACATCGATAAAAGATTACAACTATTTTTTTTCATTGAATAAGCTTATGTAAAATCAAAAATCTGTGTCATAAGACATAAGAGCTTTATTTAGTAATGCAAGGAGGATTTGAGCCTTGTAGCCTGTTTTATTGAGTTCCAAGGAACATAGGAAAAAAATCCAGATCGTGGTGAGAACTTGGAAACAAACAGTTTTGCAGTCTTCCCATTAAAAATGAACTAGCCAGCCAAATCAGGATATTGCTTTCAAATACTGAATACATTTCTCTGTAACCATCTTTGAACAAAGCTCTGTCACAAGAGGGTTAGTGGAGCATTAAGGAGTAGGACTCTCTCCTACATTCCTCAGTGAAGAGGAGGGAATTGTAATTACAGAAGGACATTTTGATAGTGTTTTTCTGTACTGAGACAGCTTAGTGTAGTTTCCTAGCCTTATGAGCCAAGTCCTTGAAACTGCTTTATAAAAACCAGGCATTTCTGGAATTCAAGAACAGGAGAAGAGGCTAGTTCTTGCAAAACTGTAACATTGGAGAAAAAGCACTCAATTAGAACAAATAGCAAATTTTCCTAACCTAAGATTTTTTGCTTAGATATGTATTTATTATGATATTTATTATTATTTTTACTATTATTATAATAACGCAAAGTCAACACCTCTACAATTTCTACAAGCTCCTTAGTGTTTTCAGACCACTCCCCAACTTCAGGACAACTTGATAACTCAATAATTGCACATCTGAGAAAGAACATAGCTCTTTATTGTCGTATTATGTATTTATTATCTGGTGATTAATATTCATAATAATTGTGGGGGGGGAAAGGAATTACTGGAAAAAAAATTAATTCTAAAAAGATGAATTCTCATGCCTTTCTTGAATTGCAGTTTTAAAAAATTATGATAAAGCTATGTTATTGACAGAGATAATTTGAAAATTACTTTTAATGTATCCTTGTTTATTTCCTTTTATATTCTAAAATAGTATTTTCTGGTCTTCCATTTCCTTTTTACAGGCTTATTCCTTCTGTTTTTTCTACTTGCTCCAATTCAGAATCTTCCACTGAAATGTTTTTCAAAATAGAGCCATCAGAAATTTCCAGTGGTTGTTTCCTAGCTGTTCTAGAGAGAGAGGTAAGCTATGAAAATAACCATTTAAAATCACTTCACAGAAGATGAGTACTGCAACTTTCCACAGAAGAATAAACAAAATGGAACATTTGAAATAAAATTCCTGGCTGCTCTTTAGTTGTCTTAAGACCAAAAGACAGCTGAGCAGTTGAAATGTGCCACTTCTGGAATTTATGCTGAGCACAGGTGTAAAAGACGTGCCTGTTTTTCTGGAACAGAAGCAGACCCTTGACCCAAGTTAGTGCCAGCAAAGTCTAGTGGAAATACATTGCTGTTACCACACTTTGGAATGAAATACACAGCTTGATTAGACTCAGGATAAATGGTATCTAGTAAATGTATTTGTTATATGTGTCACCAAGATTTTCCAGTATGCAAACAGCTGAAATCTTAATCCCTATGGGTGACACTATTATAATTTGAATAAAATAGGTATGAATATGTTTCCTTCCCAAACTAAGGCATATGCAAATCTAGCTTGAAAGGCAGGGGACTTTTGCTGAATAAACGGAAATGGCATGATTCCTGAGGAAAGGCCTTACAGGGCTAGTTTGCATCTCTGAGCATCAACATTTTCCTCTTGTCTCTAAGAAAAACACACATTTTTTCCATCAAAAGTGGAAGGGCTGTGGGGAAGAACTAATGTCAATTTCATTGCAAATTGAAGGTAGGAGATCTTGGTTATTTGTACCATTTTCTGTCATACTGCAATTACAGGGCTTGAAAGAAGGTTGCCTCTTCGGGGAAGTTAGATTTTATTAAGAGTAAGAATTACATATGAAAAGCCCTTCAAGTTACCTATTATTGACCTCTTTCTTTACAATATTAAATATTTTAAACTTGGTCTGAGTTTTAGTTAATCGTGCTGTGTGCATTTCTCCAGAGAAACAAACACTTTTGTTGCAGGCAGTTAATTCATGTAACTTTTTTGGGCCAAATTCTGTTACAAAGAAGCAATTGCTCCAATGGCCAATCTTTTGGTGATTCAGCAAATGAACATTTTCCACAAAGTAGAAAACATGTATTTACAATTTAAACTGAAATTCTTATTTACAGAAACATTCTTCTTTGCTAGTTGTAAATAGTTTCTCCCCATCGTTTCTCTTTATATACTTGGATGTTGACCTGGTTCCTAGTTTGAGTTCCATGCTTATGTATTATGAGCAAGAACTTTCATTACTGTGAAAATTATTAATGTTTAATGTTGCTGAAATTTCTGTATTTTAGTAAGTATTTCTGATACACACCCACACACAATGGATGTTTTGTTCTTACTGGCACATTACAGAGCAGGTCAGTGTGGGAATATGTTGGCTTTGACTTGGGTGGAGTTAATTTTCCTCACAGTGACTGGTGTGGACCTGTGTTTTGGATTTGTGCTGAACACGGGACTGACAACCTAGAGATGTTTTTGTTATTGCTGAGCAGGGCTTATCCAGAGCCAAGGCCTTCTCTGCTTTTCATCCTGCCCCACTGGTGAGGGGACTGGGGGTGTGTGTGAGGCTGGGAGGAGACACAGCCAGGACAGGTGACCCAAAGTGACCAAAGGGATACCCCAGACATGTGAGATGGTGCTCAGTACATAAAGTGGAGGGAAGGAGGAGGAAGGGAGGACTTTTACAGTAATGGCACTGGTCTTCCCAGGGAACCACAGTCTTTATCTTAACCCAGGAGGTCCCTAGCTTTACTCTTCCAGTTCCTTCCCTGGTACTGTTGGTGGGGGACTGAGCAAGCGGCTGTGTGGGGCTTGGCGACCAGCTGGGGTTAAACAGCTGGTTGCTAAGACAGACACACATTACAGAGCCCAGAACTCAGTTTCCCCTCTTTGGGTCAGTAGAGAAGAAAGCCTCTGAAGAGCAAATGCTTCAATACCTCTTTACACAAGTTAAGAACAAGTCAAGTTCTTAATTTGGTGAATAAAGAGTTTGGTTAGCATTTATCACATGTGACTTAAGTCCTTCTGCTAGATTCTGCTCTTTTTCTCATGGAGTAAATTCTGAGAAGCTCTCTATTGTGGCTTAGATTCATTGTTGTTTCCTGTGAAATTTTCAGAAAAAAGTGTCTGCAAAAGACATCTTGGCTTCTGCTGCAGCAAAGGCTCTACTAGATGGTATTGTTGAAGAAAAACCAAAAGAAGAGGTGAAAAAGCCAAAAGTAAAACAACGTAGACGTAAGGCTGCTGCTAGTGACAGTAAGCCAAAAGCTGCAAAGGACCTTCACCACCACACTGGAGCTAATGCTAAGGCTGAAGTTCCTGTGTCTAAAGCAGCCAGTAAGATACAAGAAAAACATGTGTGCCCCACAAAAGCAGGCAGTGACACTCCACAGAAGACTGTGAAAGGGAAAAAAGCAGCCAGTGACACTCCACAGAAGACTGTGCAAGGGAAAAAAGCAGCCAGTGACACTCCACAGAAGACTGTGCAAGGGAAAAAAGCAGCCAGTAACACACAGCAAAAGAACGCGCACCCAACAAAAGCAGCCAGTAACGTATCTGTGCCTAAAGCAGCCAGTAAGACACGGCAAAAGAACGGGCCCCGGACAGACAGCTGTGTTGAGCTGAAGAAACCTGTGAACCCCGATTGACACCAGCCCCACTGAAGGTGCAGAAGCCAACATCTCATCTGTCACCTCTGGGCAAGGTGTATGTGAGACAGACCCTGCTCAAAAGGCACGCACAGAACAGAACAGGGTTGTACTGAAGGCACCAACATTCACTTTGCCTTCACTGATAACACCATATGAAAGGTTGTAATGAAACAAACCCAGAGTATCAACATTGCTTTCCTGGGCAGACTGGAGCACAGGGTCCAGGTGGTTGGATATTTCCACCACCCTGGTCAAAAATGGTCAAGCCAGCTTGGCTGTATGAACCTTCAGACTCTGCCCTCCCTTTGTAAAGAAGGTAAAGATTCCTGTATATTAATCAATAGTCTTAAATTACAGTATATATTTATGGAAGGATAATCTGGCCTTGGGAAAGATATATTATGGGTAGGTATATAGAAATATCCATGTTAGATAGTAACTTTTCATCCAGTAATCACACTATAAGTGAATGGAATTCAGCTGCCTAAGGCTGATAGATTGTTGAGGGAAGTGAGGTCAAAAAAGTATAGCCTCTTGCTAAACACTTTGAAGTGACCAGTTAAATCATACACCCAGCCCCTCACTGTATCTAAACCTGTACAGGTAATCAGTTTCAAATTGATGCTTTTAAGGTGAGACTGAATTTTTTTAAAGTGGCCTTTCTTTACAAGTGCTAGATGCCATTTTTGTGAGTTTCCACTTAAGACTGATGCATGGAAAATAAGCCTTGTATTTCTAAAACTAGATGTGAACTTTTGTACAGGAAACCGACCAAGTACATTAAAGCCCATGCACAGGCTTTCTAGTGTGTTCTCTTGGTTTCTTCTTAAGTGTGCATTGAAATACTAACAGTGAAAAACAGATCAAATATTCTCATGCTAAAACCACTGAATTGTCATCATAATGTCACATCAGACTATGTCACGGTTCATAACTGCTTTTTACCAATTTCTTAACATAAACAGTTCTTAGCTGAAAAGAGCTGCTACTGTCAAAGTAACATTTTTACAAATGTTACCACTAGTCAGCTGAATATTGACTGGACAAAGAGTAGCTGCCTGTCTTTGGAAACAGCTGGGGGCTTCTAAGCTGCTCCCTTTTGCTAGCAAAGATAAAATAACTGTAAAATATCTACAACTGTTTTGTAATCTGAGTAGAGGATAAAAGGAGGCACAGAGATACTTTCAACAATAAATCTGATTTTTATCTAGAACTTGTAAAAACGAAACAGACAGCACAGCAATACAGAAAGGTATCTGTGGCCCAGAAATTTTCCTCTAGGCAACCATTTCAGATAGTTGGGAGGAATGTTGCCAGGAACATCACCACAATAGTGTGGGACTTAACCAATTTGACATATGAGTCTGGATTTAGATAATGCAGAGAAAATGTTATAACATCTCTATTTTGTCTTCACCCACACCAGTCAGTGACTGGATCAGCAGTACCTTTTTAAGAGAGGATGTTAGTGATATTTCCCCAGCAGTGTAGACGGCAGGCTCTTGTTCATCTGATGAATGTCCTTGCTTCACTGAATCAGTGAAAATTTCTTACAGCATTTTAATCTGAGCCAGCTGTCCTGTACAAAGACATCCCTCACCTTCTGCATATCCCTGTGAGCAACCCATGCTCCTTGCCTGTTCCAGTAACACAATGAACTTTACTCTTATTTCTGAACAAACCTGTAAGGATAGATTTAGACCCACACACATGTCATGTGTAGAATCAGAAAAAAAAAAAATTCAAAACCATCTAGGAGAAGGAGAGATTCTGCATGTTGGATGGAAGGAATGGACACTATGGAGATTTTTTTTTTCCCCAATATGGTTGTTAAATTCTTAAAATAAACTTAAGAGATTCTGCAGTTAAATAATGATTAAAAAAAAATCAAGATCTGTATCGTTCATTATTAAAGTTGAAATTATTTGTAAAACAACATACATGTGTCTAATAACAGAATTTCTGGGCTACTTACCTAGAATGTGCCATGATGTCCCACACTTGGACTCATCTTGCTTTCAGGAATTTGCATTTTTGACACAGTGTGGAGGTTAAACCAGTCAGAATCTTGATGTCTTACCAAGAATATCAGAGAGTGAATATTTCAACTGCAGGTCAGCAGCTTACTTTGTAAGCGTGGACCATCACATGGTGGCAACACCTGGGACTGACTTCAGATGGCTTGTAGGTAGATGCCTATAACAGTCTTTTTACAGTAAAACTGTATCTTATGTAATTATTTTTCTGTAATCCAGTTGTTTATTTGTTATTTTCAACTAGAAACTGTTGCTTCAGCTTTCCAGATACAAAACTCCTCATAGTACTGCTATTGCCTCTAAACCACCAGTATGTTTTTCCCTTCCCTCAGCCACCATTTTGAAAATAATTTTGCAGTTTCATGGAGCAGTAACAGTTGAGACAATCACTTTATGCAGCTAAATTTATTCTCAGAACAGATTACATTTAAATATGGAGAAGTGGTCAACAGCAGGGAAAATTGTCCTTTTTGTTGTCAGTCATATACTTTTATGTAAGACTGGGCTCTGCTAATAAACAGTGTTGTGTTTCCTTCTGTCTGACTGTTGTTAAATCAAACCTGCATGGGCTGACGGGACAGCACACGTTGTGGCAATGTGTTAATGAATGAGCCCAAGAAAGGAGTAATGCATACAGGGGTAATGCTGAAGTGCTGAGCCCACACTGCTCTTGAAATGAGAATGTTCTCTTTTCCATGGGTGATGCACCAACACTTTTAGATTCCATGGTAAATGATCTATGAAATGCTTGATAAAATTAAGAAATGTAGAACCCTTAGTGACAGCACTGGTGTGAGCTATTAGATACTCCACACACAATTTTTGTTCCTCTGCCACTGAAGGGCATAATATTTCTGTAGGTACAGGTGACTGCACGGGAAGTGTATCACTAAACCTCGTTTTACTGTGAATGGATTCGTGCTGTTCCTATGCCATTTTTGTTATTCCCAGTTAACTACCCTGTAGGTGGCCTCCATAGCCTTACATCTCCCACACCTCCTTGCCCCCCTGTAAATGAAACAGTAAGTGGCTTAAATAAAACCTACAGCCAGCACTACAGATTTCAAAAGAAAGGCTTTTATCTATTAGTCATTGACTGTGAATATAAATCTCCTTGCTTCTGCAAGGGGGTGTGTTAATGACATGACTGACTGACACATGATACCTCTAACTTACTACTTGAATTGAAAAAAAATTACCAAGTTAGCTTTGCTTTACATGATCCTTCTACAGACTTCAATAAAAATGTGACTATAAATAATTACAAAGCCTGCCTTTTTTAGGCAACCTATAGTATACAGAGTGGAGAATGTTACAAGAGCACATCCAGTAAAGACAATACATCAACATAATAAAGCAGGATATTTCAGTAAAAATAGAATAAATAAAATAAAAATATTTTAAGCTGTATTTAACAGGTTAAGTTAGAATATGGCATCAGACATACAAGGCATAGTGAACATGGCTGCTGGCCTACAGAATCACTAGGTATTATAAAAAATGCATAGATAACTGAAGGGTTGCTATAACATCAACTAGAACAGTTGCTGTTGCTCAAAAACACACACACACACACACCTCATACTTTTTTTGGCCATGGTAAAAAGAGTGTCTGAATATACTGTGAAACAAAAGATAGTAGGCTTTGCAATATTAGGCTCTGATTCTGCAAACACCTGGGTGTATATTAAATATTTTGGAAAATTAGGAGCTCTACTGAAGCAAAAAGGCCGCATATAGTCAAATCATCAAGGACACTAATTAAATATTTGCAAAATCAACAGCATTTTGTTAACAGACATAAACCTCTTAAAATATACACTGGCGAGTGATGTACAGCTTTTCAAACACCTTTCTGTCTTCTCCTCAGCCCTGCCTGCAGTTGCATCCATTGCTAATGAAAGCTAACCAGATGTTCCTAGCCTTGACAACACAGATGTAGAACCTTTACACTGCTGTTTTCTAAGTGTTGGTTTAGTTAAGGAGAGTCTGGATCTCTCCTGGGGACAACCAGCATGGTGCAGATGCAATGACAAAATTTAATTATACTGTTTAAAATTAATTGACTGCTGTACAACAGTTGCCAATCCCAAATCACGACGTTGTCAGCAGGAACTTTAAAAAGACACTGTCAAAGTATTTAATATAAAATAAAATAAAATGTGAATCACTAGCACAATGACAAACAAGGAAACTTTTATCTCTTTACCTTCACAATCCTACCTAAGGGTACCTGTTAGCCACCACAGTTTGAGAGCAGTTATCCCTGGAAATATTCAAGACCAGGTTGAATGGACAACTTTGTCTGGTGAAAAGTGTACCCCCATAGGGTTTGGAACTAGACACCCTTTGAGGTCTCTTCCAAACCAAACAGTTCTGTGATTCTGTGCTAGGAAGTGAGTTTTACACTGCTCCTAACAGAGGTGACTGGGATCAGCACTGGGAACCACAGGAGCTATATGCAAGCTGCCATCCCCATGCTTTGTGATCTGGCTCCGTGGTCAGTTCACCCACAGGTACTGCTGAAGGGGTGGGTTTGTTTGCACCCCCTCCCCTCCAGCTCTCCCTGTGTACTCAGCATAAGCAGCATAAGCTGTACAGGCAATAGAGGTGGTGCAAAGGACGTGGCAAGAGCGTGAGCCTTGGGAGGGGAAACAGTTGCTTCAGTGCCTGAGGTGCAGGATCGTGGTCATGAAGAGATCTGAGATCCGTAGAGGATCAGCTCTTCAGAGGGTATTGTAGAAAGCTAAATTTAATTACAATAGTTGCATAGCCAGCCTTCACCTGACACTTGCTCATACATCACACTGAGGTTGGTAATGATTTTCCTGCATTTTTCAGTGCAGAAATTTCTTGAATCATCATTATTTTCCTGTTGTGTTCCTAAGTTACTTCGCCAGGTGTGGTCATTAATTTCTTCAAACAAGGAAATAAAAAAGAAATAGTTTGTTTATAACAGTCTCTTGCATATTAAAATAAAAAAGAGTTATTGTAACAAGAACTTTGCCAGTGCTCCTTTATCACAAGATTTGCAGATTTGGGAGACAGTTACAGTTTGGAACCTAGCTATAAATGGAGGCAAAACATTTTTAACACTAGTTAAACATACTTAATGTTCCATTTCCAAAATCTGTACCAATCTGCAGGTTTAGATGGAAGATGACAAAGGAAGAGACTGAAGATGCATGACTGCATTTCAAAATCAGCCTGAGGTACAGTTTTGAGGGCAATGCTGGGCTGATTTTGAGGGTCTGCAGGTGTGTAAAGCAAATAAATTAGATGAAGTCTTTGGAGCAAAAGCAGTGAAATCCAATTGTACTCACCACCCTGTTAAAAAACAACTCTCTTCTTATTTTGTTACAAGAGCATTAAAAGTAAAATAAATTTCAGGAAGTATTGTAAATAAGAAATAAAATTGAAATGAAATTGTTCTTCTTCTGGCATGCTAAGTATTCAGCAAGAAACTTCGAGGGGAAGGGGGAATTATGCAACCAAACACTGAACTGAACATTTCCTCAAACACTTGTGTAGAAAAGGTATGGAATAGTTTAGTCTCTATAACAGTTTTAAGAGAATAAAATCACTAACTACTACTTCTTCTTATTCCTGATTGGTTTGAGCCCTCCATGAAACAAACTATTTTTGATGAATTAATGATAGATTTAGGAGAATAAATTTAACAGCCAGCAGTTGAATTTGTGTGTTTAAAGCTTAAAAGCTTCAGTGGATCACCTTGCAACTCAATTACTGAAAACACTTCTGGATTTTTCATCACTGGTTTGGTTTTAAACAAAATTCTTCTGTAAGACCATGATGTGTAACCAGAAGATGACATAATGACACTATGATTCAAAAACATGTCAGGGAGATGTTAAAGTAGTTGCTAGACCAATGCTGACAAACAATTTAAAACTAACAGATGCAGTTCTGTAAAAAATAAAACTTGGTATTTAATCTACAGTAATTCAACGGTTGCTAATACTTGATACCTATTCCAGTGTTGAAAACAGAGCAAAGTGCTGTAGGATTTAAGATTGGTTTATGACAAATCCAGCTCAAGAAGGTGAAATTTTTAACTCAGGCATCATTCACTCCAAGGACTTTAGCATGAGTTCACTGGGAGGGACGTGGCCATATTCTCTTTTTTGCGTGAGTTTAGGTAATGTTCATGTATTTACAATCAAACAGACCTTCCATTGCCCATGATGTAACTCACTGACAGCAAAAAAATTATTCATGCTTCTTTTCATATCACATGATGGTGGCAAGAACGAGAGAACATGCTTGTCTAACATTGTTTCGATAGGGGTAAATTCTCTGAAGAGAAAGCATCAGCAACTGAAATGGAAGGTCAGACATCGTCCATTCATTTCCTTAGTGTAGCTACTGCTATCTTCAGTCAAATGGCAGGAGAATCTTCTCTCTGAAGCAGCTATGGCATCTCAGGGACCGGACGTTTCTGTTTCAAAGTGTCAATGAGAGACAGGACTCCTCTTTTTACGTTGGTTGTAACTCTTCTGGTCACCGAGTCTGCGGGCGGCGGGGGCGGCCGGGCTTTCTGTGAAGGAGGTCTGGCTACTAAACACTTCTGATACCGTAACTGCAACACAGCAAAGCCAGTCTGGAATCATTCCTGGATCCACTAACTTCACAGGCCATTTTAAATACACTTCTAGTATTTTCTCTTTAAATATTGTCAAATATCTCCTTTGACTGTGACAAAAAGCTCAGCTGAAGTTAATGGGAAATTGGTCTGCCAATGTTTGGGCAGAAACTGTCCATCAGCACACAACAAATATGGGTATAAATCATATAAATACCCATTTGAAAACCGAGAAGTAAGTTTTCTGGGTTCAGTTATCCTTGAAAAAGGATTATTTTCTGGATTTCATCACATGACTCCAATCAAAATGCGTTTTTGGCATTAGATAGTGTAGTGAAAGAAAAGATTTCTAATTTACATAGATGTTGCAGAGGTTAGGAGAGAAAATAATTGAAGTGGCATTGTTCACTAAGCTGGTGTTTCAAACATTAAAACGTTTGGATTTTAATTGATTAAATATATCATAATATTAATTCCTATTTTTATCTTTCTTTTGTCTTAAAATTAATGTAATTACAAATTTGAAAAAATGCTAATTTATGGAGACAGTGAAAATCTAAAGTGCTATTGGATGCCTTTGCAGAAGGTCACTTACCATACAAGCAGCCTGAACAGCTTCTGAGACATTGCCTGCATTTGGTTCACACCAGAAAACATGGCACTCAAAATGCTGGTTTCCTGTGTCCATAATGAAGGCAAACGTGTGGATGTCCTTGCCTACTCCCATGAAGGACAGGAACCGCACACGGCACTCCACCATGACTTCCTCTTCATTCTGGGCATGAGCCAAAGGATTGATCATTACTACTGGATACTCTGGAACTTTCAGTTTTGATTAAATGGGAGGATATCCTGATACAGTATTGTAACTCCTGCTTATCTATCTGCATGAACCAAGCATGCCCAGGCCTGGGCTGGATCTCCCCTTCTAGGCTGTCACCAAGGCTTTGAGCATTGCCACACAATTTTAAAATGTAGTACATTTTGGAAGCTGCTTGTTTTGTGAAGAAACAAAACAACATGAGTATAATGACTCCAAAACATGCTGCCCTATCACTGGTATGTTATAGAGATGCTGGTTTAGTACCTCATCAAAAGACATATATAAAATAGAGCATTAGTAAGTCTCACTGTATTAAACTCCATGGAAAATGCTCTACATTTTCTTCTGTAACACATATTTTTATATTACTCTTGGCTTCCATACCAAGAGTAAGGCAAATGCAGTTTGGAATTTAGGATTGCTACTACTTTGGGCTTAACCTACAACATTTTAGGCTCAAAATTCCTAGAAAGGCAAACACTGAATTGAATTATGTAATGAACATTTATAATAATTTATTTCTGAGAACATGCTTGGAATGATAAATAAAACTGAAGCTGATATGAGCAGTAAGAGTCTCTGCAGATTCCGGAAAGAAATAAAATGCAAAATAAGCAAATGAATTTTAGTTTAAATTAATCCTACTAGCATTTCTGTGCTTCTGGATTTCAACACTCATATTATTTTAATTGTGTTTTAAACAACACAGTCTGCCTTACTCTTTCATTGATGACTGTGACAGTAGCATCAGCAACGTTCATGGTAACTGGCAACCAGTCATCTTTGCTAGAGGAAGCCATTAGACTTTCAATGGCACTGTTCAGAGTATCCATTCCTAAAAGGGAATAAAATGCAATACTGAAAAATAATATATATAAAAAATAACAGATTTTTTTATCTTCACATAGCAGTATAGAAAACAGATTGCTTTTGATTCCTTATTAAAATTAACTTGATAATGGAAGCAGGTATTATGAAGTTTTATTTCTCCATCTGGAAGACCAAAGCAGGTGCCTCTGGCTTGCAAAAAAAACCAGGACAGCATCTCGTTTAGCTTTTGTACTGTTTCAGTTCTTTAGGGCCCTTCTCATTAGTAGCAGAGCTCATATTCAGAGAAAGCTGTAGAAAGACACTCTGCCTTCTTGGCAGCTCCCAGAATACCCTGTTTGCCAAACACATGTTCATGTGATGCCCTGAATATTAGATATCTTCATGCCTGATTCATGTGACTGAAACAGAAGAGTTGCTACCCTCCAAAAGTCATGCACTGGCAGTTGATGAGCCATTAGAGTTTAAGCAAAGTACTTTGGAATTCACTTAAGTGTTACATACCCACGGGTTTAGCTACAGGTAGCATGCCCAGGTACTGGACGTGAAACTTCTGTACCAGTTCTGTCTTTGGTGTTGGGAAATCTACTGCATGGGAACAAAAGTCAATTTCTATTAATCAGCATTCACAGCAGAAAAAAGCACTTTTATTTCATCAATAACATAAAACTGTTTACCCATTAATTGTACTCTGAAGGTATTGCATCGATTTAAAGAAATTTTTATTCCTTCTAACAAGAACAAGCCTCAATAATTTCTAAAGGAATTTTTGGTCTATGCTAAGAATAAAATCACATTATATTGCTGGCATTTTAAAATGCAGAAAATAAAGATTAATGGATCTCTGAGATGTATAGACCTAAGTTTCACTGCAACAACTATGCAAAATCTGTAATTTGCTTTAATATCATCCTTGCTAGTATGTTAAACACAGTCTCCAAGTAATCAATACTACTGCCTGAACAGTACACATTACACAGACCATTGCACAAGCTGATTATGGATTAGGAGTAAGATATTCAGTACAAACTGGTGGATCTAGAAGCATATAATTTGCTGTAGAGCTAATGCAAAGTATATTTGTTCTTCTGGAATAGTTTCAAAACAGCAACTACTATGATATGACAAATAATGGCACTCAAAAGCAGCTTCCTTGTACCATGCAGTAAAGTGTGCAAAAGATGGATGACAACCCACTTGGCACCCTTGCCTCAGAAGTTGCTAAAATAGATGCTGAAACCTAGGAGGAGTACTCCTATGACACTTCTGAATCCAAGTGAGTAACTGGAGTATATTCTGGTTTTAAGGCAGATTTGGCCAACTGGTGCAGTCTCAAGTCAGGAGGTATTTTGATTTGAAAAAGACAATATCCTTAGTAGCCACAAATAAGTAGGACTGTGTTTGAAACACCTGAATTTCAAAATAAAAGAGGAAATGCACAAGTGGACATAACTGAGCAGGACTCCGTAACTGCGACCACAACCAAGAAAAAATACTTAAAGTAATACAGGAAGAGATTACAATCAGTCAGATACATTAATTAAAAAGCAGGAATACACTCCTGACTTCTCCACCTGGCATACTCCATTTTTGCAAAATCTGCATCAGAAACAAAACCTATCTAAAACAGGACCATCCTGAGGATACAGCTGTAACACACAGTACCTTGCAGAGGAACATCAAGGGTGACATTTGTCCTGTCTTGCAATGAGCTGCAAGCCATAGCTTTAGCATTTTTCCGTTCAGCCATAATCTGAAGGAGACAGCGTTGAAAAAAAATATAGTACAGCAACAACTACAATCTACTCCTTTTATAATCCTATTTCTGAAATCTGAAATAAGTCAGAGGGTACATGACTAAGTGGGTTATTAATTTAAATAACAATTCTAACAGTTAATAATTTTAACAGTTAGCAACTATTTTCCTCTATGTCCTGCAGGATAATACCATTGAATAACACCATTCAAACAAGGTCTGATTTACTTACAGAGTTTAACATCCTTGTTTATTATTAATTGAATCTCGGTGTTCTTTTTCCATTTGGAACCTGCAACTTCTTTATTACTCAGGAAAGCCTTTGGCCTCTATACACACATGTCAAATCAAAAGCACATATCATCCTTCTCTATCTAAATCTAAATGCCCACTCTCCCATAATCCCATCCATTTGCACCCTTTCCCTTACAAATTCTCTACACTGTTTCTCATTGCCAATTATATAAACTAAACTAAAACTGCATACAACTGCTGATTACATGTAAAAGGCTCAGGGACCCCTGAACAGACAAGTGCAGCTGATTTTAAACCCACTTGCCTTTGAGCAGATTTCGTGTAAACTTGTAGCAATGGCTTTTGCAGGTGTGTCACATCGAAACACATGACATTTCAGAATTCTGGTGTCTTTGTCTCTTGCCACGTAAGCAAAGTCTCTGTGTAAACAAGATAAATGGACACATTAGAAACATGCAAAACAAATTTGATGACATTAGAATCAGTTGTATTTCCAAAGCTGCAAGTCCTACTTCAGTTTAACAGGTGTATGTCTCAGCTCTCAAGGTATGAAATACATGCCTTCGACAAAGCAGGTCTACAAATGTAGTAAACTGCTTACCCATGAAATATATATCTCAAGTTTGGTGCTTAATCTATATAATTCAAAAGCTCATTATGGTTTCCTAACCATGCAACTTACTCAAATAATTCTGCAATTCCAATTGTAAATAAACAGCAAAATTTACTCAAATACATTACTGAAGATGAAGTAGAGAATTACATATTAAGACAGAAAACATATGCAGCTCTTAACTGCTAAAAAACCCCATGAAACAGCATACAACACTGTAGTCAGAGAAAAATCATATTTCAAAGACTGTATGAAGTGTTTAAAATATGCAGATAGTAATTAGAGATCTGGTTGCATAAGGGAGATGTGAACCTGCTGAGCTTTGCTCACACTAATTGCCCTAAATTTCTGACCTTATTTTTTCAAAAGTTAAATAAAGCTGCCCTACAAAAGGGATTTTCGCACTGTACTGACTAGTCACCAACAGCACAGTATAGCTCTCTAGCATGGATGAAGGAATGCTTTCTAGCATTTATGAAGGATAAACAACTAGGTTTATTTGTTCTCAGGCTGCTTAAGAGTTGGAGCTCTTCTGAAAAAGTCAAAGTGATACACACTGAGCCAGGAAGAAGCCTGGCTTTGCCAGCTGCCATCCTTGCTATACCAGACTCTCTGTTTGCTGGTCTTGCACCTCTGCTTTTTCATGTCCTCCAAGCAACCACAGCTCATTCCTACTTTGTGTGACCCTCTTGCTACCTTCAGATTTCTCTGGGACTTTGTTCCAGTCTCTTATGCCTGAAGTCTCTTTTCAGTGTCTTTCTGCTTTACACATAAATAATTACCAGCAAAGCTGTCAGTGGTGTAAAGATAGGAGGGATATTCCTAAGCCACAGGCCTAGTATAAACTCAAGTATTTCTGTACATAAAAGTCTGTAAATATTCTGAGCAGGGTTTAATGTAGCATGGATGGCCAATTTTAAAATTCATTTTAAATGCTCCATGAATTGAAGAATTTTACACTGAAGCTATCCAGGGAAAATCAGAGACTGTGGCAAATGGATTGCTGGCCTTCCTGCCCTGTACAAGATTCAGACATTGTCCTGCAGTTAAGAACTGTGCCTGTATCTAACTGAATGGCAGACTTTGCTCTTCATGAGCCCTTGTAACATAAAAGGGCTGCCCAGTAACAGGTACAGGTGGTTGCTCCATCTAAGTGCTTTGCAACCTGAAGCCTGGTCAATAATAGTTAAAGAAACCCCAAGCCACACAAAACGATCAGAGCATGAGATCTGAAAGCAATTCCACATGGCAGTGCCAAGCAGAAACACAGTGAAGCTGGAGGCCCCTCTCCCTCTCACTGCATCCCAGCCTGCAATGTCACATTAGGGCACAGCAGGGACGGGAGGCAGTGGGGCAGCACGTGCAATGTGCTGCCACCTGAACCTTTCCTGCATGGAGAATGCAGCCCATGGGCTGCACTGGCTCTCACTGCCTGCAGCACTGCCCTGCCAGCGTGTGAGACACAGGCATCCTTTGGGACAGTTTCACCCAGCTGATCGTGACCTGCAGGAAAAATCACAAAGCAGTAATCCAGGAAGGTGCTGTCTCTTACAGAAGATGCTCCAAGGCTTCCTCCCCAAGTCCCTTGGCCACAAGAGCTTTTTGGTATGTTGTTCCCTTTTTCTGCACTGCAAGATGCTGAGTTTCAGATGGAATCTTGCTCCTGGAAAAAGACTGATGCTTTTGGCTCATCTGGACATGTGCCAAGCCTTGCTCTAGAATGGTTTCCTTCTTGCTTAGTGCATCAAAAGCAGGCTGAAGACTCCTAGCTGGACTCCAAGAGAAGAGGGTATGGAGCACCTGTAGCCTATGAAAAACTAGCAGCTAAGGGGAAAAAACAGGAGACAAGATGCCATATAAAAAACCCTATGGGATTGGTGGTGGGTGCTGGGAAGGAGCTGCCAGGACCACCTGTCCCACGCCTCAGTACTGCAGTGCTGCATGCAAGGCTTGTGTCCTGCCCCTCCAGCACTTGCTTCTGCAGCTTCTGTAAATATTTCTGCTTGTAATGGTACGCAATCATAAACAAGGCTGTGTAACACAATTACAGAAGGAAATCACACAGCAGCCAGTACATCAGTTCCAAGTACTGAGAGCTAATAAAACGCTGGTGGTGGTGTTGCAGCCTCACACACCAGTGTTTCACTGTAAGTACCTGAACAGCTTGAACAAAGTAAACCAGCTAATCACATTTATAGATTGTGAATATACATAAAGCTTTAGATGACCAGGGCCTGCATCTACTGAGACAAAATATGACAAGTGAATTCTTCTAAACCTGTGGTACCATATCACACTCAACCCTGCCAGCACCATCTGTTTTCAAACCATCAATGAAAATTAGCACACAAACCATCCTTCCCCCTTCTGGCAGCACACAGACAGCAGCACCACTGATGCCATTAATTCATGGAAGTCACTTAGAAGCTTGCATGAGTGGTCCTACATGGCAGCCCAGGAGGCAAGACCTGGAGATGGGATACCAGCTGGTGGCAGCTGGCTCCTCCACTGCCAGCAGGAGCCTGGCAGCCTTGCTTCAGGCATTTCTAGGCATCCAGAGAACAGAGCTCCATGGTTTGTCTTGGAGAAGAAAGGCATGGCTTTCTGAGGATTTCAGAGTATCTGCTTCCTACAGCAACAATAAAACTTAGGAAATGTTTTGTGTTTCCCTACACAGGACCACAATGGAACAGCTTCTTTTCTGTCCAAAGCCTTGAATCCCAAGTAAGGCAGAAGACCAGTCTCTGATTCTTCCTCCACTTCAGATCCCTTCTGGGTTGCTTCATCTATAAACCTTCATCTGACTGCAGCTCACTTGAAGCTGATTAACATTTAAGTGAGATTTATGTGCAACAGGCCCCTGGGATAATGAAGAAGTGTTGAGCAACGTGTTTGCAATAGAAATTTACGGAAAAGGGCACACGCCTCCTCTCTTACCATTCACCTATCTTTACATTCTGCTAGGAAAACAAGCGAAAAAATAAATTAAAAAGCCATTACAAAGCCCACAGCTGGATACAGAGCTAGCACAGGGTTAACATCACATCTCATCCAGGTGGATGAGTCTCTGTCTCCATAGGGTGTGTGCACATGAAATCAGTGGGATCTGAATGACAGTTCCTAGAAAAATTTCATTCTATGTCAGTGGGGAGAGCAGCAAGGTGTTTAGTGGGAGAATGATGTTGCAAACAAAGCTGTATAGTACTGAAATTTTATAACACAAATGCAACATTTCAATTGATACAGGATGATAGAGAAGTACTGCACAGAAGGTAATTTTAAATTTTTAAAAATCATTTGCACACTACATCATCCACTGATAACTTTCCAATTATAGGAACTGGATATAAATCAGTAATCAGGACAAAAGCTAGAAAAACAAAAAAATAGATAAGAATTACTTTGTGCAAGAGTGGGTAAGACTGGTTCTACTGAACAGTTAAAATTTATAACTAATAAATTTATTTTGTAATTTATTTTGAAAGAATACAGAACTAGAGAAAGACATTTTAAAAAGCAATTTTGAGAGTTGACAATGTAAGGTGCTAAGTAGAAGGGAATTTAATTTTTATTTGCTCTTTTACTCTATTTAATTGGCAAATGCCTACAGTCATTGACTAAACCTTAGATAATCATACCTATTTAACACCTGGCTAAGCATCACTTAGCTGCTCAACCTTGGATGAATATAATCACATTAAAAGCAATTTATGCTAATGCTGTCCTGTTTGAGTAGCAGCTATAACCATTTGCCACTATTAGGCTAAAGTCCTAGGAGGCATCCCAGTTAAGTACAGCCTAAAAGAGCAGCACATCCTCCATTACCTTCTCACATTAAACGTATTTCTTCAAAAGACTGTAGAAGAATGTAGAATTGCATGAATATTTTTTGGTTAAAAACCCCTAACATTCTAGCCTTAAAGTATGAAATTTATGAAATAAAATTTTTTACTCTTCTCAATAAAATTAAATTGCTGCTATTTAAAACACCTACATTAAAATGATACACATGCAGGAAAATGTACATTTCTTTCCAGATTTATGTATTACAAATTGTAACAAGAATCCTTGAACCACAAAATTATATTCTCTGGGTTTGTTTTAAAATCGAAATTCATTGTTATTCTTGATTGAAATTCATCCAGAATAGCCTACAGGAGATGATTTCTCTGTACTGGCGTGCAGACTTCTCTAACTGCAGGGTCAGGGAACAGATACCCCAGGCTATGGGGAAATCATCTCCTGAGTCTGTAACTTCCAGGCTTCACTCTGCTTTCCTGCAAACAGCTCACCAGAGACTTATGAAAGCAGGAAACACAAAAGGGAGAGCAGCCACCTCTACAGCAGAGCAGGGTCAGAGGCACCTGGCAGGGGGTTGCCATTCACTGTCGAGACTTGAATGTCCATGGGAGCAGAGGAGGAGAAAAGCAAGAGAAGGGACAGGAGGAGGGACAGGAGGCACGTGATGAAAGCAGGTAGATACAATGCCATCAAGACCATCCTCCGGTGGGGTTTTTCCATGACACACAAATATTCCAGTATCATGAATGGCAGAGAAGATGAGATGCAAGAAACCCTGCAGTAATGTGTATGTTAGAAATTACAGATCCTCTGCATTAGCATTTCAGGCTTTTTATCCAGACTTCTTGCTCAAATAGGAGAAAGGAGAATGGCTTATGGCTAAAATAATGTTTGTGACTGTTCAGTTCACTTGTCTTTTTATTATGGTCACACCAAGGAACTTGAAAAGTTAGGGAGAAAAATCCAAAGGTAAGAAAATGATAACTAGATGAAACAAGCAGCATT